CCTTACCTTAAAAACACTATTTTTGAACTGCCTATTCCTGATTTAAACCATCTGCAGGCTCGACTTATAGACAAGATTCGTGAAATTAACAATACCCCGAGCATCTTAGAAAATGTCTTTAATTCTTTGAGGAACAGGTGTGAAAAGTGCTTGGAACAAGGAGGGGGACACTTTCAGCAGCTGCTTTAATTTATTGTTATAACAAGGAGGGGGACACATTCCGCAGCTCCTTTAATTGTTTGTTATTGTTATCACGATTATTCTTTAAAATAAAGTTATATAGTCATTAACGTTATTGAAAGTGACAGCTGCTATACAGCTCGTTGAGAAATGAGGTTAAGTTGGTCGCTATAAGCTACTCCCTACATCCAATGTGTCAGAGCCAACTTCGACCACGTTTTTATTTGAACGCTCGTTATATAGTACGTATACAAAGTTACGTCATTCTATAATTTTGTACAATAATAATAAAATAGCTGTCATTCTTTTAATTTTTCAAATAAATATCTGTAACTTTCACAGATTACTCTTCAAATGACCATTGAAACAGTGAGCGATATGGAAAAAATCTTAAAAATTTAATATGAAAAATATTGAGCCCAACATATTCAATAATTTTAAAAAATCACAAATTTTACTTTTTAAGCTATACTTTATAGATCAAAAACTATAGTTGTAAACGTGATATTGAAACTTTATGAGAACACTTTTTAAAGCTTAAAATCTCTACTTTAAGATGGTGCGTTTTATTTTTCTTAAAAACTTGAAATAATATTTGAAAAAACAGAAAATAACAAAAAATTTAAATATTTCATGAAAAATCCGTGAGATTTATTGTTAAATAAAGTTTAATATACAAAAATTTTTTGTTTGTTTAATAAACCATCAAAGAATTCAGGCCTTAAAAAAAATCCAGCGAAAAATATTTTTTTTTTATTTATAGTAATAAGTGGAAAATTGTTATAATCAGCAAAAAAGTAACGTTTTTTTGATGATTTGATTTAATATTCATTTTTAAAACGTATATTCTGTATCTGAAATTGTAAATATAAGTTCTCTTATTGATGTAGACACAGATATGAGACTAATATACATATTATTTTAATTTTGAAAGTTGTTTTTCTTGTCAGTGAGCTCACCAAATATTTTTTGTTACTTACAGNATCGTGGAAAGCGTATTAAAACAGATACAGGGTTCGTAGCGGCCGGGAAAACCGGGAATACCGGGAAAAGTCAGGGAATTCGTTATTCTTCATAAAAAACAGGGAATAGTCAGGGAATTTTAAAAATATTCATGAAAGTCAGGGAATTTGATGTTTGCAACTGGAAATTTTGTGAAAGCCGACCCTGGGTTCTTGAAAGAGAAAACTATTTGTGGTTTTGAAACCTTTATAAGAGGTTGTTAGGGTATAAAAAAGATTTTGGAGTCCAGTCGAAAAAAAATTTAATGCATAAACACCAATTAGTATGTAAAAATGAACTACAAGTGACCTGGATTTCTTTTTTATAAGTCAGGGAAAACCTGGAAAAGTCAGGGAATTCTTTATTACTTTTGAACTATGGACCCTGACTGTTCACATATTATGTCCATTTTGAGGTTATACTCTCGTAAACTTGTAATTCTTCAATGTAATATTATTACTTAATATTACAAATAATCTTGCATCTCAGTTTGCATTTAAGGTATTTATATTCGTTTTCTTTTATGCTACATCTGTAAATGTGTAAATGAGTTTAATATTTATATATGAATTTTGATCCATTTTTAAAATAATTAATGAATAAATAAATAATAGTGGATGTTGATTTTGATTTTGTAATTTTGTATTTAAAATCAGTGTCTTTTTTCAATTTTATTGGCTTAAAGTTTAATTGCCCAGTTATTTTTGAAGATCAAGAACTCGATGAGATTTAAAAATGAATTATTCTGTAATAAATTTGATTTTTAAAAAATAAAACATATTTTCAATAAAATCTCTTTAGCTATTTATAATTTTCATTTTTCGAACCTCTATATTACAAATATGAGAGATTTTGATTTAAAATCGATAATAATTATTAAATAAATTGTTTAAAATAGTCGGCCATATTGGATCAGCCATTTTGAATTTTCATTTTCCGACTTCATATTCTTGTTCAGCGACATCGAAAACTCCTATATTGTCAATTTGAAAGAATTCGATTTAAAATTAATTGAATTATTTTAAATGTTCTTAAAAAAACTATTTATTATTGTTTAAACAATTAAAAAACAATTAGCGTAAAAAAAATAAGTTGATAATTTTTTTCTAATACTTCAAATAATTTCAAAAGGTTTTAGGAAAATCCATGCTTCTCATAAGTATTTCGAAATAATGCGTAATTTTAAGCTATCTTGACTCCACTAACTGTTTCATAGTTTATCTTATTTGAAAGAATAAAATTTTCGTTTATGTGGGATGATGGGGCACTGGGCGAATACCCAGTCAACACGCCAAAGAGCAGTATTTCTGAGCGAGTGGTGTGAAAATTGGCTTTTTAATAGCCTTTCCTTTAAATTATGAAATCTGACAACAATGCATACCTCAGTTCCTAAGTGTGCATGTGATGCGACTAACGCGCTCCGTTGTTTGTCCAGAGGCATGGTATGAAAATTACAAAGAAAAGGTTTAGGAATTTAAGAAAACAAACTTATGATAAGCGTTTCCAAAGGTCAAAGGTAGTGTCCGTAATATTTAAATATGACCCCCATTCTAAGTTACACCCTTTATATGTTTGTCGACGCAGGTATCAATTTTTTAATGTCAGTAGAGACCCATTGACTGCTGCAATAATTTATTATGATCCCAGGAACTGAAAATTTCCGCCTAATTATTTGAGAAAACACGACTAGGTGGGTAACGGGGGCGAAAGTTAGGCACTTAAGTGGACTTGTTCGGAACGTGGGGTGGGGGTGATTAATCAGTGCGTGGAATATAAATCAGAGGGATCGTTAATCATGGAGTTGCGGCCAATTGTTTACAACTTTGCGGAACGTACAGCGACGATACATGCCCCAAAGTAAATTGTTCGCAGCCAACTGCCGAAAAAAGTACACTCTTTACCCTAATCGAAAACTCTACTTCCGAAAGAAAATTAATGATGCTCTTATTATTTCAAACGTTCGTTGGAGTCCCTTACTCATTTTTTAAACTTAAGCAAAAATAACAGATTCAAGCCATATTGTTACAGAAGAAAATTTATTATTATTATTCATAATTATTCATAGTAACGAAGTAGCCATGAGTTATTTTCTTTGCTTATAGCTGTTTTACATTGACAATTTATTGATCAATTAATCGATGAAGTCGCTTCATCAAGAAATTGGACAAGTGTAATGCACCAAATCTGCTGTCAAATAACTTCATGAATTTATTCATCAAGTCATTGACGAATTAGAGCATGTTCTAATTTTCGTCAATTTCTTCGTGAAGTTCGGAAGTACCAACCCAACAGATTTCCACCCTTAGATCAGTAATGAGGTTATGTTATTGGAATATGTAAATAATTGTGTGGCGTCGTACTAGTTTTGCAATGTTTTTACTGATTTGTCACTTACAAACACTAATATTTATATAATATGTGTCAAAACGGTACCGCTGTTGTATCACTACAATTATGAGTGGAAAGGTGACATTTTTGAAATTTATTTGCTTCTTTGATTCGTTGGTAGAACTGATTCATGCGTCAAAAAACTTAATAAAGTCTGTAGCAATGTAAAACCACACTGTTTACCAATAAATTCGTGAATTAATTCATGAAGAACTTCGTCAATTTAATCAATAAATTGTCAATGTGAAACAGCTATTAGATAGCATAAGTAAATGAGCGAATAATTATTAAATAGTATGGTACCGTTTTCAAAGTTCATTTCTTAAATTCGTACAATGTTCAAAATGAATTGAATTATAAAGTCGAAAAAAATATTTTGTTCTAAAGTTACAGACTTAACGTCAAAAAAACCACCCCTATTTTATTTAAATCTCCCTACAAACGTCATTTGAGTTATTTTTTATTTCACTACAGTATTAGCGGATGTGGGGAAAATATAGATCAGTAAATACTTACTCGTATGTGAAGGTGATAATTATCTTTTTTCGCAAAATACGTCTTAGCTGTTGAGCGGCATTTACATATACGATTAACTTCCGTGTTCAAGATTTAGAATAACAATTAATTGTCACCTACAACACGTGATCTCTAATAAAAAATTGTTTGTTTTCCAGAGCTTACTATTTGATATTTAAGTATTTACCGGTGATATTAATTTTTAGTGAAACCGGAACAAATAAATGTTTTATCACTGAAATGTTTCTAACGTATTGCTATATCATCTCGTGTAAAAAAAAATCTGGGTGGGCTTTCCTTTAAAAATGGGTCTTTTTTGCAGCACAGATTCCACATGATTTTATTTATATAAATTACCCTGTACAGTTATTCACATAAGATTTTACCCCCTTTACCTTTTCTATCTTCCTATATAAAGAAAAGAAAGAAAGAAATACACAAAAAAACAATAGAATGTTGCGAGACATAGATCAAACTTGTGTTTGTTATATGGAACACTGTATATTGATTGTTTTTTTAAATACATTTCTGGTTACAACGATATACATATAAATGTCTTGTATTTGCTTTGATTATAGTTTGTACAATATTTTATTTTCTTTACACTGATTCTGCATAATGGATAAAATCAAGAATGCAATGGAACCACTGCATATTTATGCAACATTCAATTGTTTTCTGTTTGTATTACTTTGAGATCACAAGAAAATTTCCTAACTTTGGTTTCTGCAATTTTTTCGTAAGTACAAGGGCAAAAAAGATAAAGGGGATACAATGTTTTGCGAATAACTTTGTGCATAAGTAGTTTGTTTAGATTCACTCTTGATTTGAATGAATTAACAAGTAAACTTCGTTCTTTTTTTATCAGGCGATAAATACGAAGCCGTTTCGATGGACAACGGCTACAAGAAGTACATGATGTTGAAGATACGGCGAGTAAACAAGTCCGACTTCGGCTCCTACAAATGTGTGGCCAAAAACTCGTTAGGTGAAACGGACGGTGTAATCAAATTGGAAGGTAAATCAACAAAACTATTTTTCTATATTGCCTTCATAAAAATGATCGAGGTTTGGGCTAACTGTATTAGGTATATTAATGTACTGTTGTTTTATCGCTGATAAAATCACAACTGAATTGAAATTTGAAATATTTATGAGCGTAAATATGACAGTTCGTGAAATATTTTTTTCCGGAAATATGTAGTTTTGTCAAGACATTTTTTTCGATTTTGTATTTCCAAACGGTAAAAGGTAAAATCACTCGTGTATATCTTTTTTTTTTTTCATTTAAAAATAAATCCCGCCAGCTTCATGCGTCGATGTCGGAATTTAATCAAATGAAAAAGAAATAAAGATCACAATAATTGTGCTAGGTATTTTACCAAGAAAAGCAGAAGCTCACAAATTATTTTTCTGACGCGCACGATATCACTATATATTTTACTATAGTTTTTTTAGTGTTCTTTTTTTATTCATTTACAGTACTCTCCTACTATTCGTTGTGTTATTTGGAATTAAATGGACTGTCCGCGAACTCCCGAGTTTTTTTGTTTTTCAATCAAGTTGTAATCAGTTTCCATGTTCGTTTTTGCCGCGTTAAAGAGGATTACCTTGTTAAGTAATTTTGTTAAGGATTTTTAAAAGGGGTAATTCGCTTAGAGTGCCCAGTCGAATTTTCGAACAAATTCCAAATTTTTCTGGATTCCAGACTATGCCCGAATTGTAAACTCTAATTTTTCTTATGCAATATATTCAACAATATTTCTATGGTATAAATTTAATAGTTGTAGCTTTGTATTTGACTAGATATCTTTTTACGCTGTATGGTCTGTAGTAAAATGTAAAATTTTATTTTATATAAAAACTAACAACTAACTGTATCGTACCAAACCAACTTCTACTCTTCTACTTCTTAATATACAATGTGTTTCGAAACGAATAGACCCTCGAATAGGCCATACTTCAAGGATAACGTCTACGGATGAAAATAATTCCGTCAATAATAATCAAATTATCTTTGTACAATTTTGCGTCTTTAAAATGTTATGTTCGGAAGTATTAGTTAGTTAAATGGAACAAAAAAAATTGTGCCACCAACAAAGAACGAATGAATTAAGTACCTAGATTGATTACAGAAAAGGATTAAGAAGTGTTAATAATAGACCTACAATCAATTCCTTAATAGAACAATTTTACTATTTCTGAATTATTATATATTTCCCACGATTTTAATAATTTCCGGCACAAATAAAAGATTTTCATTACAGTCCTGATCGCCGTTTCTCTATCCAAGGACATCGAAAACAACTGAGAAAGATTAAAGTGCCGACAACTGGGTTGTTAATTTATACCTACCCGTAAGCTGTACCTGTATGTTAATAGACCTTTTTAGTAGTGCCACATACGCCAAATAAGAGGCAACCCCATTGTACACATTATCATGAAAAATTTCTCAATATTTACTAGACCGATATTCGGGCAATATTAGAAATATTTAAGAAGATTCAAACACCAAGTGACAAACCAATAGAAATTATACAATTTATATATTTAAATTTATAGAACAATATTGACTTTTATAGTCATTAATAAATTAAAATTATATCAATGTTACATGCCCATTAAAGATAAGTAACATACATAGATAGGTAACATACAAGAAAAGTTTGGTTTTGATTAAGAGTACGCCTATAATAAACCACTTGAAGAAAAAAAAACACTCGATAAACAGACTGACACAGTACAACACCAAGAAAAACAATAAACAACCGTAGAACTAGAAAATGCTAGGATTAAACAAAAGAAGAGAAAATACGCTAATGATGACAGCGATAATATATCAACAAGATCTCACCTGCGTATGAGGCTATTGTTCCCGAGCATGCGCATTAGGAATAACAGGGCTAATGTTAATTTTTTACTTTAAATTGAATATTCTTTTATATCGTGTTTTATAAGTTTTAAGCACATTAGTGTATCTAATTTACGAAACACATGTTGGCTGTTCATAAATACTTCTAAATCCTTAAAGTAAAAATAAGTTAATTTGTAATTGTTCATTTTTATAGTAGTTAAGTAAATAATAAACAAGGTCAGATTCGATCTATACAATTTCAACTAAATATGTGACGTCAGACTAAAAGAGTCTGTTAAACAAAAGACGATAGGCCCATGTTCTATAAGTTCCCGATTTTATAGCATAAGATTGCTTTATTTTTAAAACCTGATATTAAAGCGGCGCCGAAAGAATACTACCAACTTATGGGCGACACGGTCACTAACATAAATTTTTATAAGGGCGGTTACATTCCGACGAAAAGTACGTTAATCTTCCACTGTTCATTAAGAGCAGGCGACCAAAAACAAGCAGAACTATCCGGCAAAGGGATAATGTAATAAAGTTCTTAATAACGAACGTTACATTTAGACATCTTTAGGGATTATTTTGTCAATTTCAGTCCGATTCGAACTCGGATTAATTAAGATTAATGGGTTTATAATGAATAATTCAGCAAGAACAGGAATGCCCGCTTAAACGGCGGAAAATGTCTTTGTTCAAGACCCGAATACACAGCTCGGTAATTAAAATTGCATTTCTCTTTTTAATTGACGGTGCCCGAACGGAGATACAAAAAAAGCTTCCTTTAATCGGGACGATTTAAATTCCAGTTATTTCCTATAGAGCAGTCGTATAAGAGAGGTAGTTTGGATTTGAAAATGTGAAATAAAACTCAATGTGTTAAGAATTCGGATCCTGTTTTCATATTACTCAATCATCTAAGGTGGCAATTGCAGGAAGTCGTAAGAAGTCATTCTTAAAAAAACATTTGTATCAATCCATTGGATTCGAACTGAACTGATGGACACAAATTTGAGCCAACAGACATTCGTAACAAGAGTGCGTTTACTTTATTCTGGCGTTACCAATAATTATTGGTACGATATTATATTATTCATTTTCTGTTTGATTGTGACATACTGTTTGTAACTTAACAAATGAAAACAAATTATTTTAGCCGTGTCGCAATCAGGACTCAAACAGTATAACCACACGCGTATATAAACATGTACCTATGTATTTATTTCAATACGATATTTCGGATAAAGTCCTAAGATTTCCTACGAATTTTCTATGTAACTGCCGCACCGCTTAAGTGTATGTAGTTCTTTTATAATTTTTCTAGAGTTAAAAATGTTGACACAAAAATACCTGTTGTATTACATCTCCTTTCCCAAATTTGGTGCTGTAAAATTTATAGTTTTCCCTGAAGCAACGTTGCCAATTCGTATGGAATGACCCATATTGTGGAGAATTTAAGTATATAAAATTGTAAAAATGAGAAAAATGGACAACGGCTGTTAATGTGGGGACATTTTATGTATGACGATACAGAATATTTTACACTCTTGATTCTTTTATCAATCGAATATGCTATTTCAATTTTAAATCAAGTAATCTAAACTAATAGGAATTAAACAACATGTTTACCCAATGAATGAAAAAAAAATATTAATAAAAATAATGTAAACAATATTTAAGTACTGCAATAATCCGTTTTAAATAACGGCTGGGTAAATATTAAATATGTTACATTCGGTTTTTATCATTATCATAATGTGTGAGGCAAAATTTTTTTATTCAAGAAATAAAATGTGAAATATACAGGGTGTATCTAAATAACACCGAAAAAATTCAAGGGGCGATTCTCCGATGAAAATTAATAGGGATCTTTGATATAAAATTTTTTGAAAAAACCCTTCCCTGAAAAGTTACGCCCCTCCTAAAATTACAAAAAAGAATTGTTTTTCTTTTTTATCTTCCACGTACATCAAGCTAAAGAAACCAAACTTGGTGAACATTATCTGTCAATAAAACTACACTTTTTGAATTTTTTTCAACTCTGAACTATTTTTGTAAGGGGTTGAAATAATCAACCTCTATGACATTTTTTCTTATAATTTTTTTTTCGATAAAATTTTTTTCTTTTAAAAAATATGTCTAAAAAACCCCATTCATTTACTAACTTTTTGATCTCTTCAAGTTTCTTCGAAAAGTTAAGGATTTATGACAAAAAAAATAAATGTATTGTAATGTATTTTTAAAAAGATGAGCTGTTTAACGCGAGTGTATTTTGCCGAAAGATCTAGTGGCCTGTTCTTTACAATGGAATCCGTAGAAACAAATGTCAATGTCATTTATTGTTACTGTTTCTTACTATTTCACAAGTTTCATGATTTTGTGTAGAAAATATTAGTTAATAAACCGAAAATATGGTTAACTATTCGAATTTAGAAATGGCAGATATGCATTTTACATATGGGTATGCTAACGGTAATGCATTGGAAGCGCAAAGACTTTATGCTGAACAGTACCCAGAGCGTAGATTACCCCACCATACTACGTTCACAAATATTCACCAACGCTTGCGGGAACTTGGAAAATTTGAAAAGAGAAGTCATGACTGTGGCCGTAGCCGAGAAGTTAGAACTGAAGCTGTCGATGAAGCCGTACTTAATTTAATTGAGGAATCCCCAGAAACTAGTACCAGGAAAATAGCTCGTGTCCTAAATGTAAGCCATTCGGTAGTTTTTAGAATTTTAAAAGAACAACAGTTATATCCCTATCATCTCCAACGGGTGCAGTCGTTACTGATTCGAGATTTTTTACCACGTGTGGTTTTTTGTCAATGGCTTATTAATATGATCGGCCAAGCGCCGCAGTTCTTAAGAAATATTTTATTTACTGACGAGGCGAATTTCTCAAGAGACTGTATTAGAAATTTTCGTAACAATCATATTTGGGCTGAGGAAAATCCTCATGACTTTTTTGAAGGAAATCATCAGTATCAATTTTCATTAAATGTGTGGCTCGGAATTATCGACGATCATTTAATTGGTCCCTATTTTCTTCCACGACGATTAGATGGTGACTCATATTGTCATCTTCTCGAAGAATTACCTATTATTCTTGAAGAAGTTCCCATTCAAATTAGGCAACGTTTATGGTTTATGCACGACGGTGCACCAGCCCACTTTAGTATACGTGCAAGACGTCACTTGGATGAGGTGTATGCCAATCGATGGATAGGTCGAGGAGGATATGTAAATTGGCCAGCCCGCTCCCCTGACCTTAATCCTTTGGATTTTTGCATATGGGGATATCTGAAATCTTTGATCTACTCAAGGCCAGTTGAAGATATCAATGATTTGCGAAACCGCATTGTAGCAGGGTGTGAAACGATAAAAAATTCACCAGGAATATTTGAACGCATACGCAATTCTATGAGAACAAGAGTAGATGCTTGTATTGAAGCTGAAGGCAATCATTTTCAACATTTTTTGTAGATTGTATTGTCAATATCCGACAGATTTTTATTTTTTGTTACTGTTATAACATTATTCATCATTTGTTCACTTTTAGTCTAAGTTCCAAACTTCTTAGCCTAGTAGAATCATAGGTCAACTATTTGGTTGAGTGTTTTTTAATAAAATGTTATTTAATATGACAATAAATGACATTGACATTTGTTTCTACGGATTCCATTGTAAAGAACAGGCCACTAGATCTTTCGGCAAAATACACTCGCGTTAAACAGCTCATCTTTTTAAAAATACATTACAATACATTTTTTTTTTTTTGTCATAAATCCTTAACTTTTCGAAGAAACTTGAAGAGATCAAAAAGTTAGTAAATGAATGGGGTTTTTTAGACATATTTTTTAAAAGGAAAAAATTTTATCGAAAAAAAAATTATAAGAAAAAATGTCATAGGGGTTGATTATTTCAACCCCTTACAAAAATAGTTCAGGGTTGAAAAAATTTCAAAAAGTGTAGTTTTATTGACAGATAATGTTCACCAAGTTTGGTTTCTTTAGCTTGATGTACGTGAAATATAAAAAAAGAAAACATTTTTTTTTTTGTAATTTTAGGAGGGGCGTAACTTTTCAGGGGAGGGTTTTTTCAAAAAATTTTATACCAAAGACCCCTATTAATTTTCATCGGAGAATCGCCCCTTGAATTTTTTCGGTGTTATTTAGATACACCCTGTATAGGTACCTAATATACAGAATGTAACTAATATACTGATTTTAAGGTTTTTACGGCCCATATTGTTACTTTCGGGTTGTTACGGACTTACAATGCACTTCATTAGCCTTAGCTAAATGAAAAACGAAAATATGTGGGGGGAAAAAATTAAAACTAAGTGTGGGAAAAAAGAGAAAATATTAGAATTACCACGAAGTTGGCAACACTGCTCAGAAAACAATCTGCTGACCCAACATACTTAATATGTTCTCTTATATTTTCAGAAATTCCTGCGCCCACTACAGTCAAACCCACCGTTCACCTAGCAGTGACGCCGGCATTGAAGAAAGGTAGGTAGATAGGAGCAGCAATAAGAATGAATAAACATTTATTTAAATGGGGAAAGTTTCCTGGAGTTAATCCACACTTTTGTGTGCTTATTAGTTCTAACACGAGTAATCTTTGAGGAGCACTTGCGATGCTGAGGGATACTATAAGGTCTCGGTGAACCTAAAATCGAAATAATAGCTTTAACATCTAACGTGATACATACTCCTTTATTACTTCCTGTTCCAAAAGTACCGAATAGTGACAATAAACTCAGAAGAAGAACTGGATGTCTTTAATTTTTGTCATAGCGGAAATACATACTTCCATAAAAACATAAATTACAAATAAAGATAATGAAAAAAAAAATATTGAGACAATCAGAAATATAAATCGGAAAAAATTGGAATGCGTGCACAGTGGGGCTTTTTCCAACTTTTTAATTACATCCCAAAATTAAAATAGATAGAATAGTATAAATATCGAATCCCTATTTGTTTAATTTTACCAGAAATACTACTTTTTTATTGAACTCCTAAAAAAATTTATCTGTAACTGGATAAAGTAGGTAATTTTTTAGAATATGTTAGTAGCATCACTGCTTCCACATTTTTACGAGTAGTTCATTCAGTGTTACAAACTAACAGGCACAAACAAAGCTAATAACTAATAACACAAAGATTACGACTAGAAATTTCAGATATTAGTAACTACTGATTTCTAAATCAAAAAAATCATTTTGATAAATTTCGTCAAATCTATGTCAATTAAGTGAGTTATCAAAATTTTCAAGTCGGGTTAACTTGGGCGTCGTATCACACATCTTTATTTTTAATACACAAATTATAAATTTAAATAAACAGCTATAATTAATTACACAACAGTTGTCTTTACAAAATATCGAGCAATACAGTACGTGAAAAATGATTTAAAATACAAGCGTTACAAATAAAATACTCGAGATTTTTATGACAATAACCAGAGGTCCGATAACGAATCCACGGTCAGCAGAATAGCAATATACCTACCTCTTCAATGCTCAAGTAGAACTCTCGTCAGTACACCTTTCCGTACTTCTCCTCACTTGTCACGTCAAATTATTCTTAAAGGAACCAATCAAATTCGTTACCTTACAAGTATATCCTTATAGGTAAATGCTATCTATCCTCTGACCGCGGCGTAAAACTAGGGAAAAACATAACGGATTAAATCATAAATAACTATTTCTAAGTTTTATTGTCTAGGTGCAAATTCTAAAAGAGTGGGAATGTCTTGAGTAAAGAACTCTGAAATTTCCAAAGTCTGGAGGATTCGGTCCGTGACAAAGACATATGCGATGTTTTACAATAACTCCTTCACATTTTAAGATAATGGCGTATGGTTAAGGTTTTTGTCCCTAACTGTAATTAATCCTGTTTTACGTACAGAAAATATGACTTTGTAGATATTACTGCAAATATAAGGTACAAATACCAAAATCAAGCCATGTTTTAATTCATTTTACCGGTAGTCACTTTATTGAATCGATCAGGTTTCCAATATTATAAAGTCGTCGCCACTGTCCATAAATGCCAAAAAATTATGTTTCACAGCGACTTATTTATTAACGAATCGTAAAAGCTGGAACTGGCCAACAGAGGCACTCAAATAAAAGGGAAACGCCGCTACTTCTTCAAATGATCATTTCGGCGACGTAAAAACATTTTAAAGCCCGTTCGAAGCGCGAAATAAGTGTAATTGGCGACGTTTTTATGTTTGCTCCTACTTTGGAATGTAACTAGATCAAGCGAAGACTCGGGGACATACGAAGGGCAAGATCTACTCTTTTCACCGGTACTAAAACCAAATTCATATTTGGAAAATATAGTTTCATCGAAATGGAAATATGAAGAACGTGTCTATTGTAACTATATAAATATCATTATATTTCGAAATATATGCAAGGTTTCCCACGAATAAACAAAAAAAAATATATGTACGTAAATCTTGGCATGGAAACGCATCTTTCCGAGATATGGCCCTTCAGCTTTTTTAAAGAAAATCATTGTTTATTTAATACCTCAGGAACATGTAACAATAGCTTCGCGACATTTAACAGGGTAATACCTATATTTAATACTTAAGGTGGCCATATTTCTGGCCGAGAAATAGTCAAATTTCTAGCGTTTTTAAGTACTGAAATCTTGAAAAGTATAACGTGTAGAACAAAAGTAAGCACAAAAATAAAATCTTTGATGTACTATTTACTCATTGTTACTATTTAAATTTACCCAAATAAAATAATAACTAAAAAAAAGCGTTTGTAAAACATGCGTTTTCTGTTATCCTAACCCCACATTTTAAGAATTATTTTCACGTACTTATAAATAAATGTAAACAATTTTATATGTAGGACTAAGCAACTAAATTGTTATAAGAATATTTACATGTGGAGTTTGGAAAAGTTTGTATTTTCGTAGATTTCAGTAACTAAAACTTTGATGGTTGGATCGTTTTTTGCAGCTGTTTATTCGTTTTACGGCGACGTCTTTGAAAATACTCAGATGGCACGACATAACATTCCTATTATTTGATAAACTTTAGATTATTCAGTTATTAAATGTTTGAAATTATTTGTCTTTGTGGAAAACACCATTTAAAGAAACGGCGCCCTTAAACACAATGCTAATAATTCCGAATTTTAATTGTCACTTTTGTAGACGTGGGTCATTAGTGCCTTTCGTGAAGCATAACTGTTTCGCATATTACCAGTGGCGGAATTTCAAATTTTTTCAATGTATTTGTAATACCTAATATTGTAGTTACAATCAATTTTCTAAAACAAGTCACTGATTTTTATTTGTGACATTTTATTTCCTACATTTTAATTAAAATCGCATTTGTAATAAAACTTCTATGATCGAGTAGTTCTAATATTATTTTAAATCCATGAATATGTTTGATAACGGTAATATAAATAAAAAAATAATACCTCGAGAATAAAGTATTGTTATTAGAGATAGTGACTCATCGTAACTCCGCCTCTGGTTGACATAGTTATGTATACAGGGTGATTCAGAACTTATCCGAAGAAAAAATTTTTGAATGTATAGTGGACAAATACAATTTTCCTGTCTACGCGCAAGGTAAAGCATGCAGGCACGGCGGCAAAGTGTAATAAAAACTGAACGGACAAAAAATTGAAATAAAATTTTGTAACACCTACATATTTTATATCAGCAAATTCAACTGCTTTTACCGCTATTGTTATTATTAATTAATAAAATTAATTTGGTTGTCAAGACACTAAAATATATCTATAAATGGAACAATAATAATTTATTATCCAGATTTTTAAGATACTGCAGGAAAATATTAAAAAAAAATAGTAACATAAGAAAGACAAAATGAGGAATCGATGCACTTGTATGGATAAAATATATTTTTTGTCAAAATAAATTTAAAAAATGTTTCAAGTGATAAAGCCCAATGAACTGCAGTACATATTACATTCGGAAAAATGTAACAACCAATTCTTGATCTGTAACACTACATAATCATATAATTATGCGAACCATTTGTTTTTATATGTACGAACAGGTAACAAATACATCTTCCATAACAAATCGTAGAATTAGGTATTTAAAATAGCTGTCATTTATTATTTTAATTTTTATTGATATAAGAATATGACCAGTACTTTTCTATAATGTGTTCGTGATTAAAATTCTTAAACATCACAATTTTCAATAAATAAATCTTAGGAAAATACTCGCAATTGTTAACGATTAAAAACCTAATTTAAGCAATGTGTGTAGGTGTACCAGGAGGAAGAGATAGAATGGAAAAGGGAGGTTCCAATGACAACAGGGTTGGAAAAGGAAGGAATATTGACGAATCCAAAATATCAGGTCAGATATTACAGCTTCTTTTGAATACATTTTGACATAATCTTCCTTTGAGTTTTATCTCTTCCTAGAATGTATCACAATTCTCGCCATTTTGTATTGCGATTTAACCGGAAAAGTTTTTATGTAGCGTATAAGTAAAAATAAGTTGATCAGCGTTTGCCGTTGGTTGTGACGAACCAATAAAATTTTGTATCATAAAAGAGGTTTTCAATGAAATTCGTTTCCCATATCTTTAATTATAAAATAAATATCAATAATTACAAAATTAGGTACCTACGTTTAAAAAAAACATTATATCATACGCTTTGTGAATTATGCGAACTACTAGGTATACGTTTTTGCTCATTAAAATGCAGTAAAATTTTTCGCAAATGTCTGAAGGATGTAACACGGAAATTCATACACTTCACCGCTAAGATGTTTTTTACAGGAAGACATGGCACTTGCTTTGTGTTCTGTAAAATTCCGAATTTAAGAGTCCGTCACGCGCTTGAAATAAACCCATTTTAAGGGTTCGGCCCATAACACATATTTGGAAAACGAATAAACATAGCGGCACAAATAAAAAAACAATCGAAAGACAAAGTGTTTTCCTACTGCTGTCTTGTAACAGTTTTTTCAAAATTGGTTTCTAATTGTTTAAATTTAAAGAGTAAACTATGCAAGAAATCGTCATATTTACAATTTATTTACGTAAAAATAAAGGCTTAAATCAAAAATTGCTTACAAGAGGGAAGTGGGTCTATCTTTTAGCTTTGCAATGATACCAAAATTATATTGATTTGATAAAAATTACTCAAAATTCTATGCTAAATCCCGAACGTCTACAACTTCAGAAACGAATATATTTTAAATGCTGCAACCACGTGTGTTTTACTCAGTGGGATGGGCTTAGAGATTGGTAATTGCGGACAGGACCGGAGTTCAAAGAAATATCTAGTCAGTGATAATCTATACGTTTTCAATTGAGAGTATTGAATTAATCGATCTTGCGGGGTTCGATTCTTTTATTTTCATTGGAAGAAGTTTTTGCATCCAATTAGATATTATATCAGAGATTGATATAAAAACTATCTTGAGTTAAAAGTTGTACGGCACAGCCAGGCAACGTTATTTCTAGCGGAAAACTAAAAAATGTATTTTTTAATAAATGTTTTTACTGCACTATCAGCGGTAATAATTAAATTTTTAATAGTAATAGTATATTTAATTTGTACAGCACAACATTTCGGCGTTTCCATCCCAGCCCATGTTTATTAAAGGAAATGCCGACAATAATCCCGTTTTCGTTTTTTGCCGTTTTTCTTGAGAAAGTATACGTTTTTTGTTTCCAAATGCACCTGGTCATACTAGTGAAATAACTCAATTATGATCGAGTGCTCGTTGATGAATATTGACGATTTTTAATTATTTTTGGTCATATTGAACTTATTCTCCGAGATTTCTATTCGGATGCCTGTTATTAAAAATGACTGCCGCTTCTTGATGAGTTTTATAATCATCTCCCACAATCAAAACTATTTAAATTTTCTCCTAAGAAGTTAACAGAGCTGCCATTTCTTGTATTTTATAAATTGTAACTAGCGTTTTGACGTTTGCTATCAAAAATTCCATTGGTTTGTCAGTGCATCTTACAGGAGAAGGTAAGGTAGTCGGATTTTTGTAATTTTTGATATTTATGGTATGTGTAGTTTGGACCTTGAATAAGAATTTTTCGAAGTAGTTCGACGCAACGTTCATAAATTACCGAGATAATCAATTTTGAAGTTTTACCTGACAGCTAAATCCACTAGCATTATGTGACCCATTTCTCAACTGGGAGCGTGGCGTAATTGGTAGCGTTCGGGACTGACAGTCACGAGATGGCTGGTTCGAGTCCGTCGCGTGACATTTTTTTTTTCAAAACGCACCATATAGTTTTTTATTATTTTTTTCATCTCGAAAATTATGAACAAACGAAATATTATAGTAAACACTTACGTATATGTAGAAATATTCTTCAAATATTTCATTAAAATGCACAATTGGTTGATAAACAATATTTATTATGAATTAACAATAAAGTTTCTTTAAAAAAAAACAAACAAGGTCAGGTAGGTTTTTTATTTTAATTTTAGTATTTGAAATTTTACGCAGTGTGGCATAAGCCAGAATGATAGTTATCATAGAAACATGGGAAGCAGAAACTTTCTATGCCCGAGCAGGTGTGTTTTTTTAATCACGACCCACACAACCTAGCTCAAAATGTTAATTAAACACTTGAAAAATATTCCTACATACAGTTATCATAATATTTCGTTTGTTCATAATTTTCGAGATAAGAAAAAAAAGAAAGGAAGCTAGATGCTTAAAAAATTTCTGCTTCCCATTTTTTTTATGATAACTACTATTCTGGCTCGTGCCACACTGCGTGTCAAATAGTAACATAAATATAAAATAAAAGAACATCCTACCTGACCTCGTTTGTTTTTTTTAATGAAATCTTATTGTTAGTTCATAATAAATATTGTTTATCAACCAATTGTGCTTTTTAATGAAATATTTGAATATTCCTACATATACATAAGTATTTATTATAATATTTCGTTTGTTCATAATTTTCGAGATGAAAAAAAATAATAAAATACCATATGGTGCGTTATGAAAAAAAAAAAAATTTCACGCGACGGACTCGAACTAGCGATATACTGACTGTCAGTTCCTAACGCTACCTATTAGGCCACGCTCCCAGTTGAGGAGTGTGTCACATCTAGTGGATTTAGCTGTCAGGTAAAACTTCAAAATCGATTATCTCGGTAAATTATGAACGTAGCGTAGAACTACTTCGAAAAATTGTTATTCAAGGTCCAAACTACACATACCATAAATATCAAAAATTACAAAAATCCGACTACCTTACCTGTTAGATTTAATGTCTATCTCTAGACGTAAATTATCAATGCTAATACGGAGAAGAGTTTGTAAAAATAACAAAATCTGTTTTTTAATGGTAAATGGATAATATTGGATACCTGACCGTAGTTTTCTATTTGGATCAACTTTAAATAACGATTGTCGATATTTTAAAAAATAAAGGTACTTTACTCTTGAGCAAAATTTACATTTTTCGACAAACCTCGTATACGACTGCAAAAAATTGAAATCTGATTATTTCATTTTGGATTTTAGGCCATGCAGAACTCTTCATCAAGAATAACTTTTTCTCATAAAACCAAAAAAGAGAAGGAGCGTTAAATTGACGTCCACGGGATGTCGGTTATTCAATTTTGTATTGCGATGAAATTTGTTTGTACAATTGCGGTACAATAATTGTATTAATTCTAAATTGACACAATTATTGAAGTAAAAATTGTAACGTTAGTTTCACGTTTAAATCAACCTAAATACGTCCACTGTAAAATCATTGTAGTGGGAGAGAGATAGTCTCCGCCTCCAGCTGTAACGCCCGTGCACCCGACCCCGCAGCGATACCTTAGCAGTGTACAGAGAACAGACTCTTAAGTCATTCGCGGCGTAGAGTCTCAACTAAAGTGTTAATAGACATTGCTCTAATATTGGATACCTGGTGTTTTTTTAAGTGACATCATTTTAACACAACATTGAAACGTTTTTCAAATAATATTTTTGTGAAAAGCCAAAAATAAGGAAAATAGACTTAAAATTCTGTTTTCGAAATTAAAAATATATAGTTAATTAAAAACTAATGTATAATGTAGATACTAATGCATATTTTTATTCAAAGGAAATTAAAGCACAGAATATACGCAGTTTGAAGCCAGTATATTATATTACTAATAAAATATTGTAAATTTATAATTCACTTAATTGATGAGGTTGAAGAGGAAGTTTGTAAGGCATTATCCCGGTTGGAGGTGTCAATTACTTGACTAACCATTCTCAAAACATTGAAATTAATTATCTACCTAGCTATATTTACAAATGCGTAATCTCGGTTGCTTATCAAACACTTCACAAACGTATCTATGTGTGGTGAAAACTGTGGCTACTGTAGATGCTTCCTACCTATTTTAAATGACTAACTTCTAATATATGGAATTTTATATTTAATTACTATCGTGTAGTTTGTTAAAATATAATTATATAATCTTAAGTACGAATAACTTCTTTGTCGTGTATTTTAACTATTTGATATGGATAATTGGATAAAAGACAAACTATTCAGGAATTAGGTTTCGATTGGTCTTCGCATGAAATGTGAAAACATATGCATATGTAACACTAATATATGTTCTTCAATTATACAAACAGTGTACACACATACGTTTTCCATCTAATATACTATTATACGTAATATGGTTTACAAATGGATTACACAAGAACATATAATTTTTTTATTGGAGAACATTCAAGCAGATGTTTTTTTTGCACATGTGCACATTAACGTAGAACTATTTTAATATCGAATTGAGCCAAAATTCCTTCATTTGTCATAATTCGAAACTACTGCTAAATAAAACTATTAGTAAAGCAAAAGTTATTCTCGGTAAAGTAATGACGGAAATTTAACGGATTTCATCGCACTAGTAATATTGAAGGAATAACAAATTATCAATTGTCAGTACACAACAAAATTATAAATATTTTGAAGTAATTTTAACGTAAACTAACGTATTCTGCCAATAGGCTTTTGTAATATAGAAGAAATGTATTCTTCTTGTCCAAGACGTAGTTAATGTAAGGCATAAGTATTTACCCAAATACTCCAAATAGGTAGGTACTAATTCATAATACGTATACTTATTTAACTGCTACCTTAGAAGCCATACAATACAGGACAAAGGGAATGAAAAAACATACTGTATAAAAAGAAGACCATTAAATTTTGTAAACGATAAAAAATAACTGCGGAATTTAAATTTTCAGCAGGATGTATTCAGGTCCCTAATTAGGCTGTAATTTTTCATTCGAGTGAAAATTAACCAAGTGTATTACCTGGTATCAGCTTTTCCACGACAGAACAAAGGCAATTTAGAAGCGTTATTCAGGAGAAGATTACACAGCCTAACGGCATTATTCCGGACAAAAGCTTTTTAAAATGTATGGCTAATGTATGATAATAAAGCTTTTCGCTGTACATCATCATTCCGGCTTTATTGATCCTGTGGCTTTTTTAAATTTGCTCAATGGTAGGACGAGATTGCTTTCCACTAAATTAATTACGGCATAGTTTCGTATACCGCACCTATTTCTAGATTGTAGGAAAATTGGAAAATCGTCGGAATTTGGAATTTGACACAAATTTTGAGAGAAATTAAGTGATTCAGTACTGTTTTAGCTGTTACCATGGAACAAACGAGGCCTGTGTTTTTCACGTTTCATGAAATTGAACATTTGCCAATCTAAATACCATATAATGTGTTCAATTCACATAAACATATCAAAATATATTTTTGTTTGGATATATTATTGAGATTTAATTCATTCAGTTAATATTTTTATTTTTGGACAATTGAAGTGGCGGGTCGTCAGGGACAGCAGGGTAGTACCGACCCAAAATAATTTAAATAAAATGATCGCCATAAATATGTATATGTTTTTCGGTATGTGTTTTTCCCAATCTTCATTCCAATAGTACGATTGTATTGTTGCACATGTTCTAATTTAAATTGGGAAATGTGAACCCTGATGTAAGTTGTTTAATAAATATATTATAACTTATTGTGATAGTTTCAGCTAAAATTCAACATTCTAAGGCTACTTTAAGTCTCGGTTAAAGGTTGATTAACTGATCAGGCGATTAGAATGTACATTTACTGATTTATTTTATAAAGTATACTCACAGTCTAATCGCCTGATTAGTTAATCAAGCCTTAACCGAGACTCAAAGTACCGGACCTAAGAGTTACAATTTAAATTGGCTTATAGTGTAACATTAATGAACATTTTGATAATTATTTAAAAAATAATAATTAGCTCCAGAAAATACTGAAACATTAAAAATATTATAAATCCGTAGACATAATAGTTATATTTAAAGTTTAAAGGTCGTTTTAATATTCCTTGGGTAGAAATGTGTGAAGTTTTATCAGTTTCAGCTCTTATGTCAGTATCAGCGTCTATACAGGGTGTTCCAACTAAAAGGGATTCTTCTGTGATTCTGTAACTGTAAAATTTATTAAGAAAATTATAAAAAATATCAAATATTTTTAGCTTACAGGGTGTTACATTTCGCGTGGGCGCTACATAACTTTGTTATTTTAAATCGAACACCCTGTGTATTATTGCATTTTTTAATTCCTTGGTTAATATTAGGTATAGTTTATTAAATGTACAAGGTGTTTCAAACATACCGTTTTCGAGATATTCAGTTGTATTTGAAAAAAAATCACGATTTCAGCTCTCTAAATGAGGCTAGATTGCGTCTAAACCGTCACAGTTCGTTTTGGCATAAATTACTCTATCTACTCAGTTGTAAGTTGGCCTGCCAGGTCGTCCGACTTCAATCATTTAGATTTTCATTTTTGGGGATTCATGAAAACCCAAGTTAATATTAAATCAGTACAAACTCGCCAAAAACTATGGCGCGAATTGTGGAAGGACATTTATTTACTTATTTACCTACTTTAACTGTTATAGAATAAAAATGTATTGATCTTTAAGAATGTAATTTCTACTGGGCCATAAATTTATGGTGCCTCTTTCCGAAACACCCTGTATAAGTGGTACGCGCTTATATACTTTCCCTATCTAGCTGTAAAACAGTCTTAAAGAAAATACCCACCCCGTAACCTACAAGCGTGGCCGGCGATGAAAAATTATAAACCCGCAAAGCACCCAAAGCTACCTCTTCAAAAGAGCAAAGTAAAAAGTAAGTCCCGCATTAACCCCCAGTAATTCTGTTCCAGAATATGATTACGACGGCGAGTACACGCTGCCTTCCAACGGCCCTCCGCCCATCCAGGAGCCCCCGGGCGCTTTCAGCGGAGCGCCCGGCCCCGCCAGCTGCCATCGGACCGTCACCATCGTCGCCGCCGCGGCGCTCATTCTTCTCGCTAGCCCGAGGTGATCCTCGAAATCGAATTAGAGCTTCTCCCAGTATGGAATAAAAGCGGACGCACGGACGGGTGAGTCGGCTGAAGTTTCGGGGATTGGCAGTTTTTTCGAAAGTTGCGAGATTTAAGAATTGCAACTTTTCTGACAAAAATAGCTGATATGAAAAGACCTAGTCCAGTCTACAAAATTATAAAAACGTGTAAAACCTGTTTGCAAACATTTTTGTAAAACCTAGTCCAAATCTGTATGCAAATATTTAGGTAAAAACGTTTATACAAATGCATCTGTGGCAAACATTTGCCCGTAAACACTAGCGTGGACATGTTTGTTTACAAACAAATTCAGAGTATTGCAATTCTAAACTTTGTATTTTGTGAATCAGTGAGTTTCGTTCTCAAAATAATTGCGAAATCTAGCATCATTCATTTTCAACTTTCTCAAGAGATTTTCAAAATATTATACTCCTTGAAAAATTCATCTTCCAAGTCTTTTTATTTCTCCTTATTAAATTCACAAATATCCATGGAAAAAAGCACGGATGCAATTAATTGTATAAATGTATTTACACATATATTTCTAAAAACAACGTTTTTGTTTTTGCGTCACTCATTTGTATGTAAAAATTTGTTTGTTTATAGATCTGGAATAGGCATTTACCATTAAAAAAATGAACAGTAGGTACCTACCTACGGATTTTCCTGTCTATGTCTTCTGTAATGAATTTGACAGATCGAGTCGGAAACTGAACGCAATGAGGTATTTTCCAATGTTTTAAGTACAACCGAAAATGAAAATAGGTTAAAAAATATAGAACCTGCATTTTAATATCTGTTTTACATTTCTCGTTTTACTTATGCGTAAGGTCGTGAGATTACGTTCCTATACCTATGTACCTACATATAACCTAAGTCGAGTTGAAAGAAACTACCTCATTGCTTCCTGTAACTGCAGTAATACAAATTTCAGCTGAATCACCCGAAGGCCACCGATTTTCAGAGTGGCGAAAACATATCCTGAATGAGACTGACTGATAAAAAATGGACCTGTAAATATTGTACAAAACAAACCTGTATCATAAGTTAGACGAAGTGTACCTATGCAAAATGCTGTGCTGAAGTGTAATTAGAGACCGCTGTTGACCGAGAACAAAAAAAAAAAAAACAATAGTGCGTGGACCGCAGGGGCGTCGTAAGTAAATCTTTGACATAAGTTTATTTTTTATGTTTATTTTGATTGTCAAATTTCTATTCGTGTACTAAAATCAAGTACCTGCAAATACATATTTAGAGTTTATTATTTTAGTGTGATACTTTTAATTCGTAAATGAATAGAAGTAGATATTTGTACTATCATTGTGTGATATTTTACAATTTCCTTGCTACCTCTCTCTACTCTAATACACTCCTAAAATATAATTTTCTTCTTTCCTTGGGAAACATTAAATTCATTAATTTGGTTTCAATTTCCTTAAACACGAATATTCTGGAGGCTTGAAACTTAAAATTTGGATTCAGGTGTCTAAAAGAAGCAAAGTTCTTTGAATGTCTTTGTTTTCGAGATACAGAGTGTTGAAATTTGACAGAAAATTGCAGCTCCACGATATCTAACATAGAGTGAACTTGAGTTAACATGGCTTATTCAATTAAAGGTAAAAATTTGCTGGATTTCTATGGACTCTTCTTTTAATTCCTCACGATAATCCGAGAAAAAAGGAAGAAAAATAAAATCTTTTTTATTTAATTCTGAAGACCATTTCCAAGTTATTACTTTTTTAACTTACATTGCCGTTGTTAACAACTTTTTTTTCTAAACCATTTTTTTTGTTTTGAAATTGAGTAGAAGAGGCAATAGAGGCCCATAAAAAATGAAAATGTTTTACGCCAATGTTTGTATTTAAAATATTTCTTGAAAAAAATATAGTATTTTTCATGACTTGCTATATCTAGCAAAGCACAAAATTTCTGCCCAAATAATTGTTTTGTAAAAAAAATAGTTCTAGAATTATAGAATTATTTTAAATTCACGGAACTGCTTGACACCGGTAATTTTAAGTTAAAAAACACTTCATAATGGTCTGTTGTCTTCTCAAAGAAAATAAAAGAGACACCACCAAAAATTAAAAGCAGTAATCTAATTTTCAAATGCAATAGCTTCGAATTTCTGGTACTCTTGGTGATAGTGACTCCTTTTACAGCAATAATATTTCGTATAACTTATAAAATAAATTATTAGTTACTCATATCCTTCTACACAAACACCGTCAGAGATGCTTTATTTTTCAAATTCCAACACTATATATTTAAAAAAATGAGAATTTCCCAATATTTGTTCATATGACTGTTTGTCTTATTTTGTCCACCTGAATTTAAAAAATGAAACAAAAACACGAGAATAAATAACAAATATACTGAATACAATAATTAGAGTATACTTTTATGCCGTTCTTTTTTTTTAATGAAATTGTAATGGAATCAGTGCCACAGTCTGTATTAGTATTACTTCCGATAATATGACAGCAATGTATATCATCTGCTCCGGCTTACAACCAAATATTTAAAGGTGAATGTAGAAATGCCTTTCAGCTTTTATGAATCCTTTCCTTGGTACGCCCCTGACACGACGACGTATTTGTAATTAGATTGTGTAAATTAAATCAATAAAGTTTAAGTGAAACATATGCGTTTGATTTATGATTGCCGTTGTGCGGGAGCCCTGAGTTATCTGTAGCTATTAATCAAAGGGTTCTAAAGGTTTATATTTTGAAACCCATGGTAATCGGAACCGTAGCCGGAAATCGACTTGTTGGCTGTAATTTGGCCGATTGGGATGGGAGTCGTCAGTTCTCTATTTACCTTTTTATTTGTGTCCAGCGCCGGAAGTCCAATAGTTTCGCACAAACGAACATACAATAGGTCTAACAATTATTTCCTTAATTTTCCAAACTTTTTAACTTGACAGAATTGATTTTGAGCTCATTTCCTTAAATGTAAACAGATCGTATTAATTTTCATTGCAAATTAATATTTAGTAACAGAACACTAGTTTTTTTAGGCAAACGATTTCTTTCAATTGTCATAGAGCTCTAACGGAGAACGTGGAATCATTGGATTTATGCTCCAATCATATTAGGTCATAAAATCTGCAAACTTGAAAAAATTATTAGTAGATATTTTCTTGCAGTTTATAACGGAGAAGGGTATATAAAATGGATATCAACAGAGTTAACTCGGAAGAAGTGACGCTAAGTTGGCATATTTAGGTACGTGTTTTTTATTTTTTTTACTGCTCACCAAAATCTAGACGACGTATCGGAATGTTAGTCATTTTATGTTATAGGCAATTAAATTGCCTACAATTTAAGGTACCTACAGTCATTTTTTCACTTATCTGTTAACTGTGAAATAAAGGTCGGACACGGAAATATCAGTTTTCGAAAATTGCTCATTATTATTGCAGAAAGCGATGGATGTTGATGAAATTTATGGAAAAGACGGTTAATCCAAAGACCAAGATGTATGCCAAAAGCCGATTAGATTGACCGTGAAATTGTTGCTCCTGGCATTTGTTAATTAATTTCGTTCGTTTTTTGCAACTAATTGTTTAATTACTTCACGTTAATAATAGAAGTTGATATCGTAGATATAGGTATCTAATTGATCGAAAGAAACGTATCAAAAAAGAAAAATATCAAAATGTTGGAATTATGTATCTCTTTACAACTAACAAAATAGAACGTGCAAAACAGCATTATAAACAAATTGTCACAAGGTCAGGCAAAAACCGCTCGGGAATTCGTTCTTTTTGCATTAAATAGAGCTTATTTTTACGGTAATTTAAAAAAAAAGATTTTAGAAGCAGTTAAAGAAAGGATTTTACATTAATAAATTAACTTTACATGTANAAATATTCAATTGAAAAATTGGGTTTTCAATCGCAAATAACTCAAAAAGTATTGGTTTATCAAAAAAATTGTATGACACATTTTTTGCTTCAAATTAGTTGTTCTATCGATTTCCGGGATTATTTTGGTAAAATTTATTTTCAACCCCTACAAAGGGGTAAAAACCACCCCAGGGTAAAAATACATATCAACATAGAATGTATTTTGTTTCTTGAGCTATTCTCCACCTACTTTCCAAATTTCAAGCAAATCGATGTATAGGAGCGGAAATCAGAGGTAAAAACATCATAAACTGAAATATTCGTAAATTTAAGGGTACTAAATTTTTTTAGCTCAATTTAAACAATGGATCCTTATTCCTCATCTCAAAAACTATAAAAAAATGTTTTGTATCATTAAAAAATTTTTTTTTTTCAAACGAGAGCAAAAAATGGAATTTTTTTCCCAAAATTATAATTTTGGGGATCAATTTTGAGGGTGTAAATGGGGTGCTGGTGAAACGTGATTATTTTTCCCTTAATCTATTCCACTTAAGCTTTAAAACGCTATTTTTTGTTTTTTTATCTTTTTTCTACGAGGCGCTATTTAATTTTGTCCATACCTAAGTCCAAATGAATTATTGTGCGACGTATCGGAATGTTAGTCATTTTATGTTATAGGCAATTAAATTGCCTACAATTTAAGGTACCTACAGTCATTTTTTCACTTATCTGTTAACTGTGAAATAAAGGTCGGACACGGAAATATCAGTTTTCGAAAATTGCTCATTATTATTGCAGAAAGCGATGGATGTTGATGAAATTTATGGAAAAGACGGTTAATCCAAAGACCAAGATGTATGCCAAAAGCCGATTAGATTGACCGTGAAATTGTTGCTCCTGGCATTTGTTAATTAATTTCGTTCGTTTTTTGCAACTAATTGTTTAATTACTTCACGTTAATAATAGAAGTTGATATCGTAGATATAGGTATCTAATTGATCGAAAGAAACGTATCAAAAAAGAAAAATATCAAAATGTTGGAATTATGTATCTCTTTACAACTAACAAAATAGGACGTGCAAAACAGCATTATAAACAAATTGTCACAAGGTCAGGCAAAAACCGCTCGGGAATTCGTTCTTTTTGCATTAAATAGAGCTTATTTTTACGGTAATTTAAAAAAAAAGATTTTAGAAGCAGTTAAAGAAAGGATTTTACATTAATAAATTAACTTTACATGTATCTTATGTTGTGGTGCTTGCATAATAGAAAAGAATTATCTACTCTCTCATTGTGAGATATATCTGGTTAG